CTGCTCGCTCTGGCTGGGAGCCCGCGAGGCTTCTTCCGTCTTCCTCTTGTGAGTGAAGCTGTATTCCACTTCGACAGAACGGGAGGAGAGAACTTCAACTGCGCAAAAGAGGGGAGCCGCTCCAGGGGTTTCCATAGTAACCGTGGCGGCCCCGGTGCATTTCGCTTCCCTCAGGGGCCAGAGAGCAGCGGATCTCAGCGCGCAGCTGACGCAGGTCTGCGAAGGAAGGGAACCCGAGCCCCAGGGTGACCTGACTCACCGCGTCCCTTGACGGGTACCTTTTCTCTTCAACACCGCCCTGGCACACTGTCCGTTTGCCTCTTCTCTTTGCTTGATCTCACACAGGCAAGGTGGCATCGGGTCCGGACAAGGGCTGGTGTGGAAGAGGAAGGCTGGTGCAGGAGTCTTCGTCTGCTGGCATCTGTCCCTGGAGCCTGTTCTAGGGGAGCAGCAGGACCTGTGGTGACAGACGCTGGCTCTGGGCCCTTGGGGGCGTCCCTCTCCTAATTAGGGCCTCGCTTCTCTTGTGTGTGTGTTTTCATGTATGTACGTATTTTTCTTTCCACATTTTAACTTAGTGCATATGAATTAGGCAGACTGATGGGTTTCACGCGGCAGATGTGTACTCTCACATACCATACTGTAAACATCCTCCCAGCCTTCCCTTGTCCCTTCTAGTTTGTGTGTGTTTTTTGTTTTTGTTTTTATAAACAATAGCACAAATCTGCTGTTATAGCATCAGAAACTCAGGGCTTTGTAAATTCAAGTACAGGCTTTCCCTCCTCTTTGTTTTGGTTTTAAATCTGTTATTAATTTTGCATTGTGGAGTAAGAATCTTTCTGAAAATTTCTGCGTCTCTGCTGGCCTACTTGAGATAGAGAAGAGGAGAAAGAGGAGAATTTACTCTGCACACAGGTCGGCTGGAGAGAAATTCCAGAGGGTGGTGCCATTTTTTTTTTTAAACCTTCTGAGTCACTGAAACGTTTTGTACTTGGTTGATCTAAGGGGCGATTCTCTCATAATATCCGCATCTATTTTCTCGCCCTCTGGAAGGGGCTCTGAAGCCGACAGCCACTTCCTACAGTATTAAACTTCAGCTGTGACAAGTCAAGGTTTCCAGAGTTGTTCCTGGCACCTGAGGACATCTGTCATTGCGAAGAAACAGCAATCTCTCCCGGCAATGTGGAGCAGTTACACCGGAACTGCTTTCCTCTGAGCGGAGACTCGGCAGGTGGGTCGAGCGGAAGCTATTGTGTCCTGATCCGGAGCAGACTGACCTTGGGCAGCAGCCTGGTACCACTTTAGCTCTGAGACTCTGAATGAATCTGAACCCCATCACTCATTGCCCTGGGCCCCTGGATAAGTTAGCCCCTACCCGTGGGCGTTGGCTTCTTATTTGAAAATCGAGATTCGAATCCTACTCGGGACTGAAGGTTTAACAAGCTCATATCCGGGACAGTCTTAAAAATGCCTGGCACATGGCATGACACATGAAGTGTGGTCACAAAATTCACTGAATGTTTGAACTGAAAAGTTAGTATAGTAAAAGACACACTGCCATGAACCCCCTCAAAATCTTCTGTCTGTTTGGGGCACACTTGTCCCACTGTCCTTGCCATTTCTGAAGCAGCTCTGGATTCCTCTTTCCTGAGGGTCTTTAGCGGTGCTGTCCTGGCTGCCTCCATGTCCTGAATGGATTAAAAACGTCTCCCTTTCATGGTCATTGTGACTTTGGGAAAGAGCCGGAAATCACATGGTGCCAGATCCGGTGCCTAAAGTGACGACCCGCTGAGGTCACGGCGTCACGTGTTTACGAGCTGCCTTTCCATTGGGTGGCATTCAGCAGCAGCAGTCACTGTATTTTTGATCCCACCTGGGAAAGACACTGGGAGAGCATACATACATCAGCACAGGCTGCCTGGGGTTATTTCCATCTCTGGCCCGAGTGAGCACCTCGCTGAGCACCCACCCTGAATGGGTGTCTTCTCCTAGCTGTGTGAAGCATTTGATTTGCTCAAGGCTATTGTGAGGAAGACCCCAGGGGGCTGAAGGTTAATGTAAAGGCTGGAATTCGTCTAGCGGTTGACAGTGGGCAGTGCATTTTCACAGAGTGTGTCTGTGGGGCCAGCCTGGATCCCTCCCTCACTTCAAATGTCTACACTGCAAGCCCACTGCTTCTGAAACGTGCTGCAGTCCACACTGTGGTGTCCGCCTGTCCCAGTCCCTTCTACCTCTGTCCCCGGAGGAGATGGAGCTGCTTAACCACTTACTTTCTGATGTTTCCCCTGTGGCTAAGGGGCACACGGCTATAATTTCACTTTGGATTTCTCCAAGATGAATGTAATCATTCCATTCTAATAAAAGTAAAAATTAAAAAAAAAAAACAAAAAACAAAACTTCCAGGAAGAGGCTAAACCATGCATCTTTTCCTTTTGGTTTTCAAACGAGCAGCAAGTATTCTAGCTTTTCTTTGTTTGTTTGTTTTACAACCTAAAATCAATCAGAAGATAAGAAATAAAAGAAAAATAAAGAGAGAAAGGAGTTACTCAGATGTAAGCAGTTAAAACTGATGGATTTCTTTCTAGCCTATTTTATGCACACAGTGTTTTAAGGACAGAATAGTAATGAAGTTTGTGTACCATCTTACTCCTCTCTTTTTCACAGCCTCTATTTTAGCACAGCCATTCCTTCATGCTACAGTCACTTTTTTTTGAGACAAGGACTCACTGTAAATAAAGTTCAGGGCAGCTTTGAACTCACGATTTAGCCCAGCCTGTCTTTGAACTTGCAGCGATCCTCCTGCCTCAGCCTCCTGAACGTTGGGATCACAGGCTTTCACCACCATATGCCTGGCCAAGACCGCTTTTGCAAGCATCTTCTTTGATGACCATGGAGTTGCCTGCAAATATACCTGGCTGGTGGATGTTTGGTTGCATTGGTTTTCTCCATGGTGAATGATGCTGCAGCCATGTGAGCTGAACGCTTGTCTTTCTGGATTTCGGATCATTTCTCTGCCAATGTCACTGCCCGTGTTTTGAGGAGCCATCTCAGTGTGAGAATGATCATCACATTGTGCTCTTCCCAGAGCTAAGGACTGTGAAATTTTAAATTGTTTTTTTACTTCATCGGGTAAAAATGCTCTTTCATTAATTTGCATTTCTTTCATTAGAGGGGGGTTTGAATAAGTGTCAAATATTGTTATCGGCACTTAGAGGTTCTCTCAGGTTTAAAAGTTTATTTTTTGAAATACACCTCTTGGGTGGTTACTATATAATCTCCCTCTTGCAAGATTCCATGGCTCCATGCTATGACAAAAACCGCATTCAGTAAACACCCGGGGGATACTCAGTCAGCTTCACACACCTGCACCATACTGTCTGTTCTGCTGACGGATGCCTCAACATTTTTGTATGAGATATTATTTAAAATTGACTCCCTTTGAAGACAGGACAGATCAAATTAATTTATTAAACAGAAAAATGGCTATAGAATCATCTTTTGCTGGTGAAGTCATGTTACACATGTAGCTTTATTATCTTCACTCTAAAAATTCTATTTTTCAAAAATATCTGTTACATGGTGGTGTTTACAATGCTTGTTTCAAGAAATCCGAGTGTTCCATTGGATAGATGAGCAAGTTGCACCTCTGCTTTCTTGTTAGTCAGCATTTATACTGCTTCTAACTTTTGTTGTTTCAGCACATATGGAGATTGTTTTTCTTTAACCCACAAAATGATGTTACTAGATTGGCTAGATAAATTATTTACAAGGGATGATTAAAAACCAGTGAATGATTAGATTTAAAAAACTATTATAGCAAAAGCCACATTGGCATTAATCCTCCTCAGAATATTTTCTCCTGCCTCTTTGCTTCAAACACACTCATCCCATCACTCTTGCCACTTCCTGCAGCAGCTCTGGAGTCCTCCTTCCTGAGGGTCTTTACCAGGTGTGATCACAAATATGGTGACTGCTGCTGCCGAGCTCCACACAGCAGAGAGGCCTCACAAAATCTCAATGCTGTGTCCTCATCCACCTCAGAGGTTTTATCTGGCACTGTGAGGCTTCTGGCTCCTCCCCAAAGTCACAGTGGCCATGGAAGGGAAATGTTTTGAATCCACTCAGGACATCAAGGCAGCCAGCACAGCGCAGCTAAAGACCCTCAGGAAAGAGGACTCCAGAGCTGCTGTAGAAAGTGGCAAGGACAGTGGGATGAGTGTGTTTGAAGCAAATGGGGAGGATTTTGAGGGGGGATTAATGACAATGTGGTTTTATTGCAATAGTTTGTAATTTAAACACACACTGATTTTTTAATCACGCCTCACATATGTCACATGCCCAACAGCTTTCCTAGAGCCTTGAACATTTGCTGTTTCACCAGTGAGAGGCTGCAGCAGCTTGTGCAGTTTTTGCAAACTGTGCACTGAAATTTGAAAAGTCTTTACTAATTTAATAGAATTGGTACTGTATGTTTTAAATTTACACTTTATAATTAGGCTGAGCAATTAAAAAATGTTTACTGATCCTATTCTTTTGTGAATTAGCTCTCCAGCTTTGTCTGTTTTTAGTTTCTTTGCTCAACAGCTATCTTAATCCTTCTGGTGTGTGTGCATGTGGTGTGTGTGTGTGTGTGTGTGTGTGTGTAGTCTTCTGTTATCTCCTTCATAGTCATTGTAAATGGCCATCTTAGAAAAGTGACTAAGACACTTTGAGAAGCAGTTTTTTAAACAAAACAAACAAAACAAACCAGAGCCATTCCCATTTACGAGTACACGTGGTGATGGCAATTTTGGTAGGTGGGTAATTTACCCACCTGTATTGGTCACTTTGCTGTCACTAGGACGCAATATCCAATGTCCACAGCAAAGGAGCAGAGGTTGCATTTTGTTCTCGCAGTTTCAGGGGATCCAGTCCATGGCTCCAAGGCGAGGACATCATGGCAGAAGGGCGTGGTGGAGCAAACATGCTTAGTTCATGGAGTCTGGGAAGGTAGGCAGGGAACAGCACAGGGAGGAGAGGAAGGGAACAGATGCTACTCAGAGTCATGCCTTCGTGACTCACCCAGAAATGAGTTTGACTCATTCCCTGCATGGCTCCCCAGACAGTCATGCCGACACTCCAGCTTAACTATCACACCACCTACGTTTTAAAATGACATCACACAGATGAGCGCCAGTAATAGCTCCAATTATGGCAAAATCTTTCTTGCAAATGGATGTACACCCCGCTGATAAAGCCATATTTGTTTAAGAGTGGCAAGATCAAGTGGTAAAATCTTGGAGGGTGAAGTTTCTTTCCCTTCAGTGAATTCTGGAGGTAATGATGGGGGAAGAAATGTGTTATTTGCTCTTGCCCCAGTGTTTTCAGGGTCACTTTCATCAACATTGTAGGTCCAAATCTGTCTCCAAAGCAATAGTAGATAAGTCTGGAAAAACACAAGTATATCTCACATGGACTGACCAGTTATACTGTAGAAGAAATAGAGAATGGGAGATGGGCTGGTAGGTGGAAAAGCCAGGGGAAGTTAGGAAATTCCTTCAGTATTCATCACAATTTGAATACCCTGGAAATGTTGTGTTGAAAACTACTGCGTTTTTTGTTTGATATTTTAACAAAATGTTGTACTTCAGTAAATTTGTTTCTACATTATTATTTCTCTGGTTACTTAACTTCCACAAAATAATAAAAATAGTATCTAAGTTACCTTCTAATTCTACAGTTCATGATATTATATGTGCAACATATTTGCAATAAAACACAGTCACCCAAAAAATGTATGCACACTCCAGAAAAGAAAAATAGTATGATCTTTTTTTCAACAGATGGTGTTATCCTCATATGGGGGACCCTAGAGAATGTCATATATCACAGAAAACCTGCTACACTGCCCACTGTTAGAGAAGAAACTGAAAATGCATATGCAAACATCTCAGTGAACAAGGCTACCCAAGCAACAGCTCACTGTACTAATAAATGTCTGGCTGCTACTGGACACCACTTTGAGTACCTTTTGTAATTGCAGAGGACAAAGGTAACTTGTATTAATTTCAATAAATTTAATATTAAATTATTCATGCAAGTTTTTCTTTTACTGAAGTTTGTATATATTTTTTTGGTGGACTCTCTATATGTTGTCCTCAGTTTGGGCCATGTCTATGAAATGAACACTTAACAAATGTTATTTAAACTACTAGCAATTTCCTGTAGCACACAAAGCAAAACAAAAACAAAAACCCAAAAAACAAAAAAAGTCTTGATTTATGAAATAAGAATATATTGTATACTATTTTACTGAATGCTCCAAGAAAAATCATCAATACTGTTTTATAAGTATAGATTTCACTTAAAATCAGTGCTTTAATAATCAAAGAATTTCAGGCACTTTTAAGCTAATCGGACAATTGATATATGTCACGTCAATTTGTTGTAAATAACATTCCATTGTTGCTACAATTTAAAGTTAAAATGCATATGCTCTTTTATTGGGTATAATATTTCATGGTCCAGTTTATTATTATTATTTTTAAAATCTGAATCTGCTGATATTAAAAGTCATAATTATCTGATACCATGTTATATCTATTTTTAGGTTTACATTTGTAGAATGATGAGTGCATTAAGTTGCAAATCTTTTCTGCATTTGCTTTAGTATTTAGAATTATGTATCAGCTAAAGCTAGTTAAGTTTTCTGCTAAGCAATCTGAAGACCCATGTATTGATCAAATTATTGCATTTCTAAAGTACATTTTGTATGTGGGTAAATTGGAGCTTCTTACTTTATTATGTGAATTTTGTATTTGATTTTTCTAGTGTTAAAATATCCACCTTTCTTTCAGATTGCTCTGGAGGAAGAATTCTTGATTGTCTGAGCACTGAAGTAGTCTTGTTGCCAAGTTCAAGGAAATAAACTTGAAGTTCTATGCTACAGTGGGTTACCTGTAAATGAAGCAGGCCATTATCAGTTTCTCTGAGTGGGAGTGAAAACTGGTGTATATGAAATGCTTTGATATAAAGTACTTCTATTAGGGTCCTTTAAAAAAAATCAAGAAATGTGGGAATTGAAGTCTCATGGAATGTGGCATGTCTGAAAACCTCCTTTTCTTCCCATTGATTGAAGGTATACTGCAAACCAGAGTTTATGCAATATCTCCTTAGGAGAGGAGGACTCACTGCATTAGATTAATTTTTTAAACAACCTTGTACTTGGTAGTGTTGAATGTATTCTCTCTCTGAACTGTTGTGGATTTTATGGGCCATTTTATATGTTGGCAGGAGATATTAGTATGAGGATTATAGTGGAGTATTATAGTCCACGTTCTTTAGTTAGAGAGTTGAAAACAGCTTTTTCTCTCTCACTTTTTTAATTATGCTGCCTCAAGCTATACCTGTGAGGGATTTAAACCTCTGAAAATGAGCAATTTTATTCTGCAATGGGATATTTATAAGATCAACTCCTAGCAAAAACACATTCAAAATGGTATCTTGTTAATAAAGTGATTAACATCTATAATTTATGTGTGAATTCTACCTACACAAATAGGGTTTGAAAGGTTTTTTAATTATTTCAACTACCTATGTGGCTATGGCTATCATTTCACTTGTATTTACCCAGAGACTCATAGGAGATTGTGTGGTTAATGTCAGAAGTTGATTTGAGATTATCGGTAAAGTTGAGATTTCTAAATTTGCCCTTATGATGATATGATAAATGACAGGCTATGTATGTGACCCATAAACACATAGGGTCTGTGTACATCTAATTTTCACACATTGTTTCAGAATTAATGATATAACTTTTGACTGCACTGGAGTATTCTTGGTGTTAAAATAGTCTCAACTTTAAATATAAAGGATTCCGAAGTTCAAGACAGAAACCATCTATATAAATAATACTTAGCAAACATTCTAGGAGCCCCTTCACCCTCGTTTCTAGCCTTGTAACTCATAAGTCAACCAGCTATAATCCCAAGTCCTGTAATATATGTGTGTAGAAAGGACTCCATTCTCCACAGCTTTCTCAATATTTGCTTCCACAGTCTGTGCTCTTGAGGGGTCCAGGGAAACAATTTGTCCTTGTGCTGCGGTCCTCTCCAAAAGCTTGCCTTTCCCCAGCCTTTTAGTTGTGCTGACATTATTTATCTTCTTATGTTTCAGTATTAGCAGAAGCTTTTCTTTCTATCACTCCTTTCCAGCAGTGGGTATGTTTCTAGTGATCTATTTCTCTCTTGTTTACCCTACATTTTCAAGATGGCCCAAAATTGTTTTACAGAGTTCGACCTGTTTCTGCAATTGTTTTCATTTTTCCTTTGTTATAGGTAGAGCTGATGTTATAGGTAGAACTATTTCCTGGTGGTAGTGTTAGGTCCCTCTCTCAACTCCTCCCCTTCTTTCCTCTCCTTCTCCCCCCGCCTCCTCTTCTCCTCCTCCCCCTTCCTCTTTTCCCTGTTTTTCTTCTTCATTTCTTTTGGATCAAAAGAAACCAAAGGTTTCATGTATGCTAGTCAATCACTGAGCTAAACCTCTACCCTTTCTCTCTCTCTTTCTCCTCTCTCTCTTTCATTTTTTCTTTCTTTTTTGATTACAAAATCAAAATCTGTTTTTAAAACCACACCTATCCTCCTGTTTCTGATGTTCCCTTCCTAAATGAGAGTGTTCTGCAAATATACCAACCTGGAAGCCTTCCCTGATCCTCTGTGGATTCGATGAAGCTGATTCTTTGAACCATGGTATCCCAGACACTGGCTTGTAGATTTCACTCTTCTATCTTAGTTTACAGTAATGTTATGTTTTCTGCAATCCCAAGTCCCCAACGATGGCATGTTCCTGTACTGTACGGACCCACTTGTCTGCTAAGCATTTGTTTAGAAAGTCTTCATCGCTGCTGTGATCCATATCACATGCTGGGCCCCAGATCCTGAACCCCCTTTGCATCCAGCCACTTGGAAGCAGGCAGGTAAATAAATGTTTGTATACATCTTTTACATAGCACCCGTGACATATGGGCATTTTTGGATAGAAAAGGCCCAGTATGGTGATCAATTCTCCCGAGGGTGAGGGGTACCATGGGGTGGGAAAAAAAGAAGGAAATATAGGGAGAGACACAGAATTAGTGCTGGGTGAGAAATAGAATTAGGGTCTGAGTTTTAACCCATTGCTCCATTCATTGTACCTAGAGGTGAATTGCACCTCAAAAAAGGTTCACTTTTAGGGCCTTTAAATTTCCAGTCCCTTATTTCACAATTAAGTCAATAGTCTTCAGGAAACCTGTACCGCTTAATATGTTCCTTTGTCTTATCACTGATTTGAAACATTCCCCCTTTTCACTTTTTAATGATGATCTGGTTCACTAGTTGAAGTACAAAGGCCCCATGTTGTGGCTTCTGTCTAGATGTCCCTCCAAACATCTCGTGCATTCATAGGTGAGGCTTTTGGGAGGTGGCTGATCTGGGGTGTGTGAATATGGACTAAGGATGTGTTACAACTAACATGGTTTAGCATAGTTTGGGGTGTGAATAATGCCCCACCCTGGGAGTGGGTGACACCAATCAATGCGTTTGTAGCCTGGATGGAGCATAAAGGGACAGAAAGAAGGCAGGCTTATTACTTGCTGCCTCCTGTCTGCCCTGCTATGGACTGTTTCTCCTCTTCCAGGCCCATCTGCCTTGGAGCCAGCTGATGGTGAACTGAAACAGCTACAACCATGAACCAAAATAGATCTTCTCTCTTTAACTTGTAGGTGTCAGGTATTTTGTCTCAGCAGTGAGAAAGGTAGCTAAGACACCCACCTTCAAGGAGAACTAAGTCATGGGAAATTGCCAGTCTCAGTCCTTAAAGGGAAAAAATGGAAAGAGCTAAGTCTAGGTAAGAAAGGAAGGAAGGAAGGAAAGGAGGGAGGAAGGAAGGAAGCAAGGACCTAAGCCAGAGGATTGTGTTGGTTAAGATAAAACTAGGGAGAAGAGGAGGAGAGACAGGAAACAAGGCCCCATAGTAGCACCTGCACAGAGGATCCCCAGTGGTGGACACGCCTATCAGTTTCTGAGGCATGGTGTGTCTGAGGGTCTACTCTGCCAAACACAGGGCTGGCAATACCCTTGGAGTTCCACATACATGGAAAAGCATGTCCTTCGAGTACCTCATAGATCCCACACTAGCAGATGTCACAGTATACCACTACTGGAAAACCATCCCACACTTGGAACTGAACTCTGCTCTTAAACATCTCAGGAAAGGACTTTCAAAACCTTTTTACATATTCCATTCCAGTGTTTGAGATCCTTTTCTAAGAGCCAAGTCTTCCTTTTTTCAAGCCTACAATGACTTCCCGTGTCCTCTTTCTTAATGACAGATGACAGCCAAGAAGGATCTCTATAGAGAATTTGACAGCTATCAATTCTCCCCTTTAAATGTTCTTTACTTTGAAGCACAGCCCTCCTGCATTTACTTTTTCTTCATTGTGTACATTTTTGTTGTTGATAGGATGCTATGTAATTTGGGTAATGGGATGGGGACTATATTTGTCCAATCTTTATGACACATCTGGAATTGTGTTTATAACACATCTGGAGTTATTTCAGTTATTTCTTATGTTAGTGAATTTGGTTCTCTTTGCTGACTTGTGAGACAAGTTATCATGCTGCTTTTATGAAGGAAGAGATGGATCAAACTTTCTCTGGATCTGCACTCAGTCAGAATCAGAGGAAGACTGGCAAATTGAATCTCTAACCTCTGCATGTATCTTATATTTGTTTTAAAGTTAATTTCTTCTTTTAATCAAGGTAATTCTTGCCTATAGATTAAAATGAAGTAGGGCGAAAACATATGATATTGTGGTAGCAAACACAGCACACAC